CGTTTTATACAGCGGCAGCCTGAAGCTATTATTTCCCCTGAGTAAATACGAATGGGTTTCACTATTATATCGTAGGATATCACTCAGATAATCTGGAAGTCTACCTTGTTTTATGTTAAACACGAATTGAAAATTTGCTGTTTCACGCTCAGCCAGTTTAATTCTGCGATCATTTCCTGTATGGGTGTGTCGTACCGCTTGTTCAAGATAAATCGCATAGCCCTATTTTGCATTTTTTGAAGCTTATCTATTTGTGTGTCGCTTGCTATAATAAAGATTGTTGGAAAGTATATGAAATGTGGTTCAACTATAGATCTGTAGACCAGAGTCTTATACCTCCTTCCTAAGTACTTACATGATCTTTTCATGAGACCAATTTTTTGAGCAATTTTTACTATTTTGTAGTCAATATGTTCCTCAAATTTTAACTTTTCATCGATATATATACATAGATATTTAATGATTCTCACTTTCTCAATTACTTCATCTTTAATTTTTAAACTGTAGTTATCGGAGCTAACGTTAGCTGCTCTAGATATGACCATAAACTTGTTCACATTTAATTGCAGTCTGTTTACGCACAACCATTTATACAAACAATGAAGGTCTTCTTGCATTTTAATCATTGCATTGGGAAGATTACTGTCACTGAGGGTTAAGAGGGTATCGTCAGCAAAAAATTTTACCTTACAATACTTCAATACTGAGTTTATGTCGTTGATATAAATATTAAAGAGTATTGGAGCTAACACCGACCCTTGTGGTAGACCAATATCTACTGCTACCTTTGTGGATAGAGCTGTGCCAATCACCGTTTGTTGCTTCCTATCAGAAAGAAAACTACGGAACCATGTAAGTTCGATGTTATCTATACCAATAAATTCGAGTTTTTTTAGCATTATTTCCCTGTTGATCGTCTCGAAACCTCCCTTAAGGTCCACAAACACCGCCATGATAGTCTTCTTGGAATTCAGGTCCTCCTTCCATTGTGATAAGATCAAGTTTAGCGCTGTTTCGCATGAGTGATTAGCCCTAAAACCTTACTGCTCCTTAATGAATATTTTATTTGACTCAATATAGTTTATTAGTTGTTTTTTTACAACCGTTTCCAGTATTTTTTCTAAGTTGGGAAGGGTGTTTATTTGCCTGAGTTATCCGATTTTATGGTTTTTTGACCTTTTTTATTGGGACATTGGTCGAAGTTTTCATTCTGTCGGAACTATTCCCAGCTGAAGGCTTTTATTTACAAATAGGGCATAAAAGTGGCCCATGTATTCAACGGAGTCTTTGATTAAACCCTCGGATAGTAAATAATTTCCACCAATTTTTATCTTGAACTTCTTCACTATATGGATAATATCATCTGTACTAATCTCACAAAATTTAAAGGTCCCTTGACTATTTTCCTGTTGAATCGGATCATAATTAACGTTTTCTATATTCCTATTAATATCGATGATACTATCAACAAAGAAATTGTTTAACTTGTCAGGGATTTCAGTACTATCTTACTAATATTATAAATGTGAAAGTTTGGATGTTTGGGAAATCATCACGCGGAAACGCCTGAACGGATTTGCATGAAATTTTGTATGCAGATAGCTTATGGGCTAGATTGGTTAATAGGCTACTTTTTTAAGAGTTGCCACCTGTTAAAAAAGTTTAATT